CCCTATAGCAAAACCCTCTCAAAAAAAAAAAAAAAAAAGTGAGAAATCACTGCCCAGAGGGGATGGCCATGCAGCAATCCCTTCTCCTCCATTCTCCTCTCGGGATTTTGGGCACGCACGCACACATGCCTGGTGTGAGTCTAAGCCACCGGGTCTGGAACTCGAACCGCGGTCAGCTACATGGGAGTTTAGCGACATAGCCATTATGCTAACTACTGGTTCACCCCCGCCTCTTTTTTTTTTTTTTAAGAGAGACCTGTGCTGTAGGGCAGACGCACACTCTGGAGAGACAAAGACAGACAGAAAGTGAGAAATCAGTCCCGAGGAAGATAACCACCCCACAGTCCCTTCTCCTCCATTCTCCTCTGGAGACTTTGGGTACACACACCCATGTGTCCAGAGTGAGTTTTAAGCCGCCAGGTCTGGTACTCGAACAGCAGTCGACCACATGGGAGTTCAGTGGTATAACTGTTATGCCATCTGCTGGTCCCAGGCCACAAGCCCTTTGCTGAGAGCAATTAAACACTTTCCAGTCATGTCAAGTAGCTCCCTCCAATCCCTCCTCCCAAGTCCAGAGCCAGCAGGACAATAGCAGACATCTGGAAGCTTCCCTTAGGCTAATCCCTCTCAAAGAAATAGACCTGCCTCCTTGTGCAGCTGCAGATATGAAGAGTTTATCGGAGCCAGATCCCACGTGGCTAACTGCAGCTTAAATCCCAGCCCTAGGAGTTTGAAAAACATGCCAGGTGTAGGTGCATGCATGCCCAGGGTCCCAACAGGACAGAGAAAGAGAGGAGCAGGGATTGCAACTTGACCACTCTCCACTAGGGGCATGCTTTTTCCCTCTTCCTCTACTTCTCTCTCTCCCTCTTCTCTTTCTGGCAGGTGTATACACCTAGTGGTCAATTAAAGAGAAAAAGAGGGGCCAGCAGTTAGCGTAATGGCTACCCCCATGTAATCGACCACGGTTTGAGCGCATGCATATGCACCCGGTGTAAGTTTCAAGCCACCAAGTCCGGGACCCAAACTGTGGTCAGCCATGCCGGAGTCCAGCAACAGAACCACTCTGCCATCTGCTGGTCCCAGAATTATCCCTCTTCTTGAGGGCCAAATAGTATTCTATTATGTGTTTTGTTTAATTCAGTCATCTGGGATAAGACCTTCGAGTAATTTCCACTTCTGGCTGTCATGAATGACGCTGCCGTAGACATAGGTGCACACCCACTCAGTGCCCTGCCACCAGGATTGGATGGTTGAAAAAGTCATGACATATTTTTTCTGTTTTTCTATGAAAAAAGTATGTCATGACTTTTCCAATAGCCCAAGATTTTCAAGACTGTAGGAAGGACACTCAGCCCCCTCATTTTGATTTTTTAGGGAGATTTTTGCAATAAGGCATGTGCACTTGCCAGAGAGACAGAGAGACAGAAAGGAAGAAATCACCCCCCAGGGAGGATGGCCACATGGCAATCCCTTCTCTTCCATTCTCCTCTCGGGATTTTGGGCATGCACGCACATGCACCTGGCATCTTTCGAGCATCCGGGTCTGGGATTCAAACCGCAGCTGACCATGTGGGAGTCTTGCAATGTAATGATTACACCATTTCCAGCCCCCCATAAAGTCCAGAAAGGTAGAGCCTGCCCAGGGCCCACAGCCACGGACAATGCTCAGAAGCCAGGTCATAGCACTCTTGGGGTCATGGTCTCTCTCGGGGTCCCCTTGCTGCTGGATAGAGGAGCCCCCCCAAACAGGCCATGCTTCTTGGAAATGATTCTCACCGTTCTCCCCTTTCCAGCAATGCCCTTTGCTTTCTGTACGAGAGAGAAGCTTCCTTGGACGGAATTTGCCGAGTCAGCAGAGGAGGGGCCCACGACCAGATTCTGTCAGAAGGTAAGACGTGAACCATTCCTGAGAGAGCTGCCAAGCACGTGCACGACCCAGGGACAGCCACAGCTGCTGGGGTGGCCCTTTTCCATGGGCAATGCACCACTGGGTGCTCGTTTCACCAGAGGACATTACAGGTTATTTGCTGCCCTTTTTAAAGTGCCCGTTTACCTAAAATCATTGAATTTCGGAGCTGGGAGGGCCTTGACTGTCTTTCTCAGCTTAGGGAGAGGTGACCTGGAGGTGACTTCCTTGGTAAGTTCTGTGTGTGACTGGCAGTTGGTGAAGCTGGCACCGGGGGACCAGGGGCACTGATTTCGTGTCCAGAGCTCTGTCCCCTCCCCTTGTTGTTGGCTTGAGTCTCAGGAGCTTTGATGCACGGCCAGTGTCATCCATATGGAAATTGGTTCTAATCTATCTTTATTAAAACCTCATCACAGGGACCAGCAGTTAGTGTCATGGCTATGTCGCTGGATTCCCATGTAGTCGACCGCGGTTCGAGTCCTGGGCCCAGTGACTTAAACTCACGCCGGGCGCATGTGCGTGCGTGCCGAAGATCCCGAGAGGGGAATGGAGGAGAAGGGATGGCGGCATGGCCATCCCCCCTGGGGGGTGATTTCTCACTTTCTGTCTCTCTGTCTCTCTCTGTCTTTCTGGCGAGCACGCACTCCCTATAGCAAAATCCTCTCAAAAAAAAAAAAAAAAGAAACAAAAAACACATTTTGATTTTTTAGGGAGATTTTTGCAATAAGGCATGTGCACTTGCCAGAGAGACAGAGAGACAGAAAGGAAGAAATCACCACCCAGGGAGGATGGCCACATGGCAATCCCTTCTCTTCCATTCTCCTCTCGGGATTTTGGGCATGCACGCACATGCACCTGGCATCTTTCGAGCATCCGGGTCTGGGATTCAAACCGCAGCTGACCATGTGGGAGTCTTGCAATGTAATGATTACACCATTTCCAGCCCCCCATAAAGTCCAGAAAGGTAGAGCCTGCCCAGGGCCCACAGCCACGGACAATGCTCAGAAGCCAGGTCATAGCACTCTTGGGGTCATGGTCTCTCTCGGGGTCCCCTTGCTGCTGGATAGAGGAGCCCCCCCAAACAGGCCATGCTTCTTGGAAATGATTCTCACCGTTCTCCCCTTTCCAGCAATGCCCTTTGCTTTCTGTACGAGAGAGAAGCTTCCTTGGACGGAATTTGCCGAGTCAGCAGAGGAGGGGCCCACGACCAGATTCTGTCAGAAGGTAAGACGTGAACCATTCCTGAGAGAGCTGCCAAGCACGTGCACGACCCAGGGACAGCCACAGCTGCTGGGGTGGCCCTTTTCCATGGGCAATGCACCACTGGGTGCTCGTTTCACCAGAGGACATTACAGGTTATTTGCTGCCCTTTTTAAAGTGCCCGTTTACCTAAAATCATTGAATTTCGGAGCTGGGAGGGCCTTGCCTGTCTTTCTCAGCTTAGGTAGAGGTAGGTGACCTGGAGGTGACTTCCTTGGTAAGTTCTGTGTGTGACTGGCAGTTGGTGAAGCTGGCACCGGGGGACCAGGGGCACTGATTTCGTGTCCAGAGCTCTGTCCCCTCCCCTTGTTGTTGGCTTGAGTCTCAGGAGCTTTGATGCACGGCCAGTGTCATCCATATGGAAATTGGTTCTAATCTATCTTTATTAAAACCTCATCACAGGGACCAGCAGTTAGTGTCATGGCTATGTCGCTGGATTCCCATGTAGTCGACCGCGGTTCGAGTCCTGGGCCCAGTGACTTAAACTCACGCCGGGCGCATGTGCGTGCGTGCCGAAGATCCCGAGAGGGGAATGGAGGAGAAGGGATGGCGGCATGGCCATCCCCCCTGGGGGGTGATTTCTCACTTTCTGTCTCTCTGTCTCTCTCTGTCTTTCTGGCGAGCACGCACTCCCTATAGCAAAATCCTCTCAAAAAAAAAAAAAAAAGAAACAAAAAACAAAAAACCTCACCACACATATTGTCTGACCCCACTTGTATGAATTGTCCAGAACAAGCAAATCTTTCAGAACAGAAGGCAGATTAGTGGTTTCCAGGGGCTGGAGGTGATGGGGGAAGAGGTGTGACTGTTCCAGGGGGGGCAAAGTTTCCTTCTGGGGGTGATGAAATGCTCTAAAATTAGATTGTGGTCATGGTTGCACAGCTCTGTGAATATACTAAAAACCACTGAGTTGCACACCTTGAAAGAGTAAGTTTTATGCTATGGAAATTACATCTTAGAGCCGGGATCCAAAAAACCCTATCACGTGTACAGAGGTAACCAATGGTAACTTACCCCGATCCTCACCTCCAGCAGAAGGCCTCGTACTTCTCTGTGTTCATTCTGACCTCGTGCATCCACTTGGGAGCGTCTGGGCCGTGCTGTCATCATACCGAATTTCTCGGTACTGACTGGGGGTTCTAAACATCCTTGCTCACAAGCTATGGGGGGTGAAATCTCTCATTCACCAACGGGAATGCAGTGGGAAAATGAGGCAGGGGACTAGTTTTGGGGGCCGAGCCAGGGTTGGAGGAAGGGTCTGAAGGAGACCTGGTGCCAGGCGACACCTGTTGCATCAGGAGGGCTGTGAGACTGCCCCTGCCCCTTAGTTTCTCCCTCATGTTGCTTTCTGAGTGTGCCTTTCCCTCTCCCTCCCATTGAGCCCAGAGATGATGATGGGCTTAAGTGGAGTTAAGAACACGTACCAGCAGGACCAGCGGTTAGCATAATGGCTATGTCGCTGGAACCCCATGTAGTCAACCGCTGTTCGAGTCCTGGACCCCGGGGCTTAAATTCACGCCAGGCGCATGTGCGTGCATGCCCAAGATCCCGAGAGGAGAAGGGATTGCAGCGTGGCCATCCCCCCTGGGGGGTGATTTCTCGCTTTCTATCTCTCTGTCTGTCTCTGTCTGGCGAGCGCACGTGCCCTAAAGCAAAAATTTCTCCAAAAAAAAAGAAAAGAAAAAAGAACACATACCAGCTAGGGCTGCTGCTCCTAATGGTCTCCAGATCCTGATAATGTTATCTGAGACAAAAGGAATTTGCTTCTCAAGGGACCCCTTTTTCTTTTCTTTTTTTAAAAAATTTTATTTTAACATTTTTTTTTGGGAGAGGTTTTTGCTATAGGGCATGTGCGCTCACCAGACAGAGAGAGACAGAGAGACGGAAAGCGAGAAATCACCCTCCAGGGGGAATGGCCATGCCACAATCCCTTCTCCTCCATTCTCCTCTCGGGACCTTGGGCACGCACGCACACACGCCCGGTGTGAGTTTAAGCCACCAGGTCCGGGACTCAAACTAAGGTCGACTACATGGGAGTCCAGGGACATAGCCATTACGCTAACTGCTAGCCCCTCTTTTTATATTTTTTATTTATTTATTTTTTTTTTAAAGTTATAGGGCATGTGTGCTCACCAGAGAGAGAGAGAGAGAAAGTGAGTTCACTCTCCCTCCAGAGCGGGGGTTGGGGTTGGCCACACTACAATCCTTTCTCTTCTCCTCTTGGGATTTTAGGTGCACACACGCATGTGCCTGGCATAATTTTCTTTTTTTTTAAACAATTATTTTATTTAACTTTATTTATTATCATTATTATTTTCCAGTTTTGATCAGAGAGAGACAGAGAGAGAGAGAGGAAGTGAGAAAGCAAACCACCAGGTCCAAGACTTGAACCATGGTCGGCCATGTGGGAGTCCAGCGCCTTTAACCACCATGCCACTTGCTGGCCCGATCATTTTCAAGCCATGGGGTCCAGTATTTGAACTGCAGTCGGCCATGGAGGATACAGCTGCCTTAACCTCCATGTTCCCTGCTGGCCTTCCAAGGCTTTCTTTTCTTTTCTTCCCTTTCCTTTCCTTTTTCCCTTACTTTGTTATCTTTCTCTTTCTTTCTTCTTCTTGCCTTCCTTCCTTTCTTCCTTTTTTTCCTTTATGAGAGAGAAAGAAGGAAAGATAGGTCATTTTGATCGGGTGCCGCTGTGTCACAATCCTCCTGCCCCAGTCTCCCTGTTGGTCAGGATTATAAACACTTACAATCCTACTCAGCATGTTCAGGCTGGCCTGGGAATTGAACCCAGACCTCCCATGTAGGTTCCAGCCTCCCAAATGGTAAAGCTAACTTATTCTTTGTTATCGTGGTATAAAACATGTAACATAAAAGTTACCATCCTGGGACCAGCAGTTGGTATAATGGCTATGTCGCTGGACTCCCATGTAGCCAACCACAGTTTGAGTCCCAGACTTGGGGGCTTAAACTCATGCCGGGTGCATGTGCGTGCGTGCCCAAGATCTCGAGAGGAGAATGGAGGAGAAGGAATTGTGGAGTGGCCATCCCTCCTGGGGGATGATTTCTCGCTTTCTGTCTCTCTGTCTCTCTCTTTCTGGCGAGCGCACGTGCCCTATAGCAAAATCCTCTTAAAAAAAAAAAAAGTTGCCATCTGAACTATTTCTAAATGTACCATTCAGTAGTGTAAAATATATTCACAGTGCTATGCAAGTGGTCCCCAGAACACCTGCATCTTGCACATCTTAGCTCTCCCTATTCCCCCCTGCTCCCAGCCCTGGGAACCACCATTCTAATTTCTGTGAATTTGAACTCCCTTAGGTCCTTTTATTTTATTTTATTTTATTTATTTTTTTTGGAGAGGTTTTTGCTATAGGGCACGTGTGCTCGCCAGAAAGACAGAGAGACAGAGAGACAGAAAGCGAGAAATCACCCCCCCCCAGGGGTTCTTCTGTGGAGGGACATTCAGATCGCTTCCACCTCGGCTATTGAAATAATGTTCCATGGACGTGATGTGCTAATACCTCCTTGAGACCCTGCTTTTAGTTCTTCTGGAGATATACTTAGCAGTGGGATTGCTGGATCCTATGTGAATTCCATTTTAAATTTTTGGAGCCATCTCCGTAGGTTTTTCGCGGTGGTGGTTTCGTTTTACATTCCCGCCAGCAGCATCCACGCATGACGGCGATTCTTATTTAGCTAAGCCTGGGCGTCAGGGTAGCATTGATGTTTAGTCATTCAGGTAGCAAACGTGTGAGAGCTCTGAACCAAGCCTCATGGTTTAGCAGGATTGGTGAATTCTTCTCCAATAAGAAACTATTGGGTCTTTGGAAAAGTTAGAACGCATTTTTGGATAGAAAAACATAGAAAAAAATAATCATGACTTTTCTGATGACCCAGTATGACAGTTGATTTGAAAGTAAGACTCTGGGGACCAACAGGTGGCATGATGGTTAAAGGCACTGGATTCCCCAGACCGTGGTTCAAGTCCTGGACCTGGCGGCTTGCTCTCTCACTTTCTCTCTCTCTCTGTCTGATCAAACTGAAAAATAATAATAGTAATAAAAATAAAAAGTTAAATAAAATATATTAAAAAAAAAGAAAGTAGGATGCTGGGCCAGCCCTGTGGCCTAGTGGTTAAGGGAGCCAGATCCCATGTGACAGACCATAGTTTGAATCTGGCCCTGGTGACTGAAGAACATGCTGGCTGGTGTATATACGTGTTCAAAATCCCTACAGGTTGGAGATCAGCAGTTAGCGTAATGGCTATGTCGCTGGATTCCCATGTAGTCGACCACAGTTCACATCCTGGACCCAGTGGCTTAAAACTCACGCCCGGGCGCGTGTGCGTGCGTGCCCAAGATCCCGAGAGGAGAATGGAGGAGAAGGGATTGCGGCATGGCCATCCCCCCAGGGTGTGATTTCTCGCTTTCTGTCTCTGTCTATCTGGCGAGCGCATGTACTCTATAGCAAAAACCTCTCCAAAAAAAAAAAAAAATCCCTACAGGTTGGAGAAATGGAGAAGCAGGGATTGTGGCATGGCCATCCCCCTTGGGGAGCGCTTGCTTCCTCTTCCTCAGTCTCTCTGTCTGTCCCTTTTAAGTGAGCACTTGTGCCCTCCAGGAACTGCAAGCAAAAAAGAAGGAAGGAAAGAGAGAAAGGAGGAGAAAAAAAAAAAAAAGACTCTGCTCTATTCATTATTTTTCCTAGCTGGCAAAGAAGTACGACATGGTGGTGGTGTCCCCCATCCTGGAGCGGGACGGAGAGCATGGGGACATTCTGTGGAACACGGCTGTGGTGATCTCTAACTCTGGAGCCGTCCTGGGCAAGACCAGGAAGAACCACATCCCCAGAGTGGGCGATTTCAACGAGGTGAGCTGCTGCCCAGGGGCCAGCCCAGCTCTCTGGGCCTTTCTGCAGGGAGGTTCTGTGTAGGATCACGTCCCGTCACACGCTGCTGGAGCACAGTGTGGCTGCGGTGCCCGGGTCTCCTGCTGTCACCGTACCGCATCGCACGGGCACACGGACTCGGGCAGGTCTCCAGAAGGAGTCTCAAACTTTAGCCTGGTGGTGTGTATGTGTTATTATGCAACCCGATTTGGCTTCCACAAATTCTTTGAAGTCAATGGTACATAAATTAAAACCAAAATAGGGCTGGCCCATAGTCTACGGGTGAAGGGAATCACATTCTACATGACCAACTATGGTTTGAATCCCTGCCCCGGCAGCTTGAAAAACATACCAGGTGCATATGCATGCATGTCCAGAATCTCAACAGGATGGAAAAATGGAAAAGAAGGAATTACAGCATGGGACCATGCTCCACAGGGGAATACTTACTCCCTTTTCTCTTTCTGGCAAGGGCTCATGCCACTAACAATTCAAATAAATTACTATGCCCAGCAGGTGGCGCAGTGGTTAAGGCACCGGACTCCGACATGGCCGACCACAGTTCAAGTCTCAGATCTGGTGGCTTGAAACTTGAACTGGGCGCATGTGTGTGCATGCCCACAATCCTGAAGGGAGAATGGAGGAGAAGGGATTGTGGCATGGTTATCCCCCCGGAGGGTGATTTCTCTTTCTCTCTCTCTGTCTGTCTCTGGCAAACTCACATGCTCTATAGAAAAAAATCTCTCTTAAAAAATAATTAATTAAAATAATTTAAAATTTTCAAAAGAAATGAAAGGTAAAATAAATCGGCATGATGGCGAAATGATGCCTCTGGTCCCTCTCTGGCTCCGAGCTCCTAGCCCACCCAGCCTCGTCCTTGTTGAGGACTGTGATACTCCTTGTCCATGACCCATGTGGAGTCTGAGCTGGCCCATGTCATAGGGGTGAATATTTTTGTCTGTGTACCTGTGTGGCATCTGGGCCTTCCCATGCTCCTGACCAGGGCGTAAGTCGGGGTCAGGGAATGCTTCTATTTTTGGAGAGGTTTTCGCTATAGGGCATGTGCGCTCACCAGAAAGACAGAGAGAGACATAGAGACAGAAAGTGAGAAATCACTCCCCAGGGGGGATGGCCACACCGCAATCCCTTCTCCTCCATTCTCCTCTTGGGATCTTGGGCACACACGCACATGTGCCCGGCGTGAGTTTAAGCCACCGGGTCCGGGACTCAAACTGTGGTCGGCTACACGGGAGTTCAGTGACATATCCATTACACTAACTGCTGGTCCCAGGAATGCTTTTGATCGGAGAGTGCCAGTTCATGGCTGGGTAAGGTAGAGGAGATCTACATTTGAAGGAGGGACATGAACGCCACCAAATGCTTAAAACATTGAATCTGAACTTGACTGGCAAAAAATACAGCTGTCCCAGTCCTTCGGCCTCCCTCTCCAATTGTGGGTGTCCCGGCTGCCTTCAGAAGAGAAATGTTCCCTAGGATTAGACGAGGTTCCCCGGTGGAAAAAGAACATAGCGTTTGGCAGTAACAGGGGTGGGCAGACGCGCCCCTTACCCATTCACCCTGAGTTTAATCTTTACCGTCCTGCAGGTAGCACAGGGCTGGTCTCAGGACAGCAGGATCATTGCCCGAGCCTGGCCAGCTTAGAAGTGGATAGGAGGGACCGATGGATGGGGTGGTGGCTGAGGTGCTGGACTCCTCCATAGTGCAAGTCCCGGACCTGGAGGCTTGAAAATCACACTGGGTGCTTGTGTGTGCCCAAAATCCCGATAGGAGAAAGAAGGAGGGATTGCAACGTGGCCATAGCGTGGTGGGTGATGTCTCACTTCCCCTCTCGCTGTCTCTCTGTCTCCCTCCAGCAAGCACAAGTACTGGACCCGGTTGCTTAAACTCATGCCAGGTGCGTGCCCAAGATCCTGAGAGGAGAATAGAGGAGAAGGGATTGCAGTGTGGCCACCCCCCAGGGGTGATTTCTCGCTTTCTATCTGTCTGTCTCTGTCTCCCTGGCGAGCCCACGTGCCCTATAGCAAAAACCTCTCAAAAATAAATAAATAAATAAATTAATTAATTTAATTAAATAGAAAGCAAGCAAGGAAGGAAAGAAAAAAAAAAGGAGGAGGTGAGACTGCAGGGGCCGATCAGTTTGGGACCTCAGTTGGCCTCTGGTCACCCTCAGTGCTGCTCATAATGTCCCAAGGCCAGCATCCTAAGGGAGCAGAGAGACAGGGGTGGAAGGGCAGTCCCCTCTACCTACTCTGCAGGGCAGTCTTACACCCAGATGTTCAAGGTGTAGGAGAAGACACTTTCAGAGTGAGGGCTCCTGATTGGGCTCTGTCAGCTTAGCAGCTGGGCAAGTAGCTGCCCTCTTGGGGTGATGGGTTTTGTCCTCTGACCAGGGAGCAGGGAGAGGGTTGCTGTGGGTGACTCTGGTCCCCTGTAGCTCTGACAGTCTACATAAGGACGTGTGGGTGGGGAGGACAGTGACTGACGCGTGTTAACACTGACCAGACCTCAGCCTTGGGTTACACCGTGATTAAAACCTCACCATCGTTTACCCTGGAGATGTTGTAGCAGGTTGCTTGGGGGATTTTGTTTTTTGACAATTCCCAAAGGAGCTTGTGGGTGAATGTTTCAGCCACAGTCATTTCCTTTTGGGGTTCACTTGATTCTGTGTCTGAGTTTTCTTTTTTTCCTTTAATCTTTTTCTTTCTTTCTTTCTTTTTTTTTTTTTTTTTGGAGGGGTTTTAGCCATAGGGCGCATGTGCTCGCCAGACAGACAGAGAGAGACGTAGAGACAGAAAGCGAGAAATCACCCCCCAGGGGGGATGGTCACGCCGCAATCCCTTCTCCTCCGTTCTCCTCTCAGGATCTTGGGCACGCATGCACACATGCCCGGCGTGAGTTCTAAGCCACCGGGTCCGGGACACGAACCGCGGTTGACTACGTGGGAGTCCAGTGACATAGCCATTACGCTAACTGCTGGTTCCCTAATCTTTGAACATATTGAAATTCTGGAACTTTAAGTAGAGTCCAAGAGTGTTACTTCTTGGCCACGGGTGGGATTTCATTTTTTTCTATCAAGTCTAAGGAAAGGGAACTTTCTAGTTTTAAAGAGATTTTTGCTATAGGATGTGTGTACTCCTGGAGAGACAGAGAGACAAAAAGACAGAAAGTGAGAAATCACCCCCCAGGGGAACCAGCAGTTAGCGTAATGGCTATGTCACTGGACTCCCACGTAGTCAACTGTGGTTCGAGTCCCGGACCCAGCAGCTTAAAACTCACACTGGGCATGTGTGCATGCGTGCCCAAGATCCCGAGAGGAGAATGGAGGAGAAGGGATTGCAGTGTGGCCATCCCCCCTAGGGGGTGATTTCTCGCTTTCTGTCTCTCTATCTCTCTCTGTCTGTCTGGCGAGTGCATGCGTCCTATAGCGAAAAACTTCTAAAAAAAAAAAAAAAGAAGAAGAAGAAGAAAAGAAATCACCCCCCATTCAAAGGCACCCTGGGTCCTACAATCTTTGTGGGCTATAGGATAACTCTCAAGAGAGAGAGGAACCTAAATGTGTCTGTCTCCTCCTTGGCCTGACATGACCTGTGAAACTGTACTGCGGTGAAATCCAGCCATATAACCATTACACCATCTGCTGATCCCAGAAAAGCGAACTTTTTTTTTTTTAATTAACTTATTGGGGGCCAGCAAGTGGTATGGTGGTTAAAGGCACTGGACTTCCACATGGCTGACCGTGGTTCAAGTCCTGGACCTGGAGGATTGCTTTCTCACTTTCCCTTTCCCTCTCTCTCTCTTTCTGTCCCTCTCTGGTAAAATTAAAATAGATAAATAAAGTTAAATAAAAATAATTTCTTAAGAAAAAATAAATTAACTTATTTATTTAATGATTGCTTTAACATTTTTTAAATAGTTATTTTATTTGAATTATTTATTTACTTATTTTAATTTGACCAGAGAGGGACAGAGTGAGAGAAAGAGATAGAAAGTAAGCCACCAGGTCCAGGACTCGAACCACAGTCGGCCATGCAGGAGTCCAGCGCACTTAACTACCACACCACCTAACGACCCCAGGAAAGGGAACTTTTACAGTTGTTCAGTGTCAATATTTGGGCCTTGTTTTTCAGTCAACCTACTACATGGAGGGGAACCTGGGCCACCCCGTGTTCCAGACGCAGTTTGGAAGGATCGCGGTGAACATTTGCTACGGGCGGCACCACCCCCTCAACTGGCTCATGTACAGCATCAATGGGGCCGAGATCATCTTCAACCCCTCTGCCACCATCGGAGCACTCAGGTCACTGGGGCAGGGCCTGGGGGCCTCTCGGGCGGGGCCCAGGAACAGGCTGTGGGGTGTGGAGGGGGTTTGCAAATTGCAGGAGGTAGGTATGGCCACCGGATGTCTAACAGATCCGAGTCCTGGGATCGTGTATTGTACATTTATCTATTGAGTTCATTTTTAAAATGTAATCACTTGGGGGGGAGCGCAGCAGGTAGTGTGGTGGTTAAGGGCGTTGGATTCCCATATGGCCGACTATGGTTCGAGTTCCGGAACTGGTGGCTTGCTTTCTCACTTTCTCTCTCTCTCTCTCTCTCTAACTATATCTCTCTGTGTCACTCTAAAATAAGCAAATAAATAAAGTCAAATAAAAATAATTATTAAAAAAATGCCGAGATCAGCAGTTAGTGTAATAGCTATGTCAGTGAACTCCCATGTAGCCAACCGCGGTTCGAGTCCCGGACCCGGTGGCTTAAACTCGAGAGTCTGTGCGTGCGTGCCCAAGATCCCGAGAGGAGAATGGAGGAGAAAGGATTGAGGCGTGGCCATGCCCCCTGGGGGGGTGATTTCTCGCTCTCTGTCTCTCTGGCGCAAAACCACACGCCCTTTAGCAAAAACCCCCCCAAAAAAAAAAAAAATGTAATCACTGGGGCCAGCAGATGGCATTATGGTTAAGGCACTGGATTCCCACATGGCTGTCCACAGTTCAAGTCCAGCACCTTAACCACCATGCCACCTGCTGGCCCCAAAAGAAATTCTTACGCTGACAGTTACGGACTCTCCCTAAGAGCTGCTGTACCATAAAACACCAACCTTTGCTATGACTCTGAACATCGGGATAAATTAGTGACCTCCCCACTATCCCGAAGAGTTGTCAGGATTCAGAAAGCCCTACTTCTAAATGCTTGAAGCATCGTAGGTCAGCCTTAGCTCCTGGACGAGGGACTGCAGATTCCTAACCCTCGAGTCCGCAGCATCTGGCATAGGAGAGCAATTTGGAAAAGAGAAACAGCAAATGCGGAGTGGGAGCTAAGAGGGCCCTTCAGCGACCAGTGAAGTGGCTCCGAAAGTTGTTCTTACCAGCGAAGTGCTTTCTTTTTATCACACTTGACAAGTGTTTCATGGACAGCCTCATCCCTAAGTAGATAAAACCCTTCTGGACAAGGCAGGGTGGCAGAGCCCCTGAGCTCTTGGGCAGGACTACCAGGGCCCCTAGCAAAGATAACCCCGTGAGGCTGCCGTGGCCGTGGCTGAGCCTTTGGGTGCTTTCCAGTTTTGCATCACTGCAAGTAGCAGAGCTCTAGGAATTTGTGTGTAAACCTTTTTCTCCCTAACTCACTTCCTCCAAACCAGGATTCCTGGAGCAGGAGCTACTGGCTTGCACTTTCTGTGGTCTCTGCAGGGCAGGGGCGTGCCCCACCCTGTGGGATGAGAAGCAGGGGCAGTTCTGGCGGACAGCTTCGAGTGCCATCAGCCCACACCTGTCTCTCTGGTCCTAGCTGTCCACTGATTTTAGTGCTTTTTTTTCTTTCTTTTTTATTTTCCTTGCCCTAGGGCACATGTACTCACCAGAGAGAGGGAAAGTGAGAAAGCAGCCCCCATGGGGGATGGCCACCCTCCCACGCTGTAATGCCTTCTCCCCCACCCTCCTCTTGGGATTTTAGGCACACACCCACATGTGCCCAGTGTGGTTTCCAAGCGGCTTGGTCCACTGCTCTGAATCTGTCAGCCAGACGGGAGTCCAGCACCTTAACCACCATGCCACCTGCTGGTCCCATCTCTTATTGTCTTTTATTTATTTATTTTTTCCAGAGGTTTTTGCTATAGGGTACGTGTGCTCTCCAGAAAGACAGAGAAACAGAAAATGAGAAATCACCCTCCAGGGGGGATGGCCACACCACAATCCCTTCTCCTCCATTCTCCTCTCGGGATCTTGGGCACGCACGCACACGTGCCCAGCGTGAGTTTAAGCCACCGGGTCCAGGACTCGAACCGCGGTCGACTACGTGGGAGTCCAGCGACATAGCCATGACGCTAACTGCTGGTCCCTTTCATTGTCTTTTCTGTAAGCCAGAGGGTGTGTACACTTCCCAGATCGCAAAGGAGAGAGAGAAACCACCCCCAGTGGGGCGTGGTCACACTGCAGTCTTCTCTCCATTTCTCCATCGTGTGGGGATTTTAACCGCACACACAGATATGCAGCCGGTATGTTTTTCAGGCCTCCAGGGTGAGGGATTCGAACCGTGCGATTAACCTTGAGAGATTCAGCTCCCTTAACCACTAGACCATGGAGTCAGCCCACAGTCAAAGTTTCTCTAGTCACCAAGATGTGATATTTATGCTACTTTTTCTTTTTTAGTTTTTAGAGAGATTTTTGCTACAGAGTGCATGCGCTCATCAGAGAGACAAAGTGAGAAATCATGCCCCAGGGGGGGGATGGCCACGCTGCGATCCCTTCTCCTCTTGGGACTTTGGACATGCACATACACAGGCCCAGCATATGTTTCAAGCCTCCAGGTCTGAGACTTGAACTGCAGTCAGCCATGTGGGAGTTCAGCACCCCAACCACTACGCCATCTCTGGCCCCAATCTGCCTGTACTTTTAAGTACAGTGCCCCCTTCCTTTTTTTTTTTTTTTT